TTATGATCAATAGACATATGAAAAAAATTACAACTTGTAATTTTCAATTGAATTTATAATTTTCATTATATAACTAGTATTGTGATGACTTATTTAATAAGTTTCTATCACTAATTCTATCTAAAGTTCCATAAGGGCAATGATCTTTTTATCTACTCATCACTGTAGCTCCAGTTTTTGATATTGTATAATTGCTGAATAGTTACCTGTAGAGTGTATGAATCATCATGGGAAGAAAGGAAAACAAAATAATTACAGAATTGGTTTCATGATAGATATATAAATCTATGGAAAAGAATAAAGTCCACAAACAACCCACTTTTTGATAGATCATTGTTTTGCTATATACTCCACAACTATTTCCAATGCCAGGACTTTATAATTTGTGCTAATTAGAGAGATCTTTTGGACATTTCAAATCCTTCACAAAATTCTAAACTAGTGACCTATATCAGATATCAAAGTCAGAAGAAAAATATCACAATTTTAGAATACAATATATGCATTAGCATTAGTCATTGGCTACCAAGTTCTGTTTTATATATAGACATCCCATTGTCTTAGTATTATTGGCCAAAAGCACCTTTCCCACTACATTGTCTTTGCTCCTTTATAAAAAATCCATAATCTATCTAAACGTGGGTTTATTTATGGACTTCATTATTTTCTATTGATTTATATGTCTGTCTTGAAGCCAATTCCATAACATTTTGATTATTGATTCTTGAAATCGGGTAGTTTTAGCCTTCTAACTTTTTCTTCTTCAAAAAAAAAATTTTTGGCTATTTTAGGTCCTTTGCATTTCTATGTGAATTTTAGAATTAATTTGTCAATTTCTGCAAAAAGTCTGTTAACATTACAAATGGATTGCATCCAATCTTTAGATCAATTGGGAGAGAATAGATTTCTTAACAATATTGAGTTTTCTGACTCATGAACCCAAGTATATATCTTCATTTTTAAAGTTTTATTTAATTTCTTTCAGCAATATTTTATAGTTTTCAATGTGATGGCTTCGCACATATTTTGTCAGATTTATGCTCTAGTGTTTTAATGTGTTGTACTATTATAGATAATATAAGATTATCTATTTAGAATTTTATTTCCTGATTATTCATTGTTAGTATATAGAAATACAACTGATTCTAAATATTAATATTATATCCTTCAGTCTTGCAAAAAAGCAAGATTCTATGTCAGTTGATAAAGATGTCCTTGAAGTTAGCACTGAAAGCAAGAGACTCCACAACTACTTCCAATGGCAGGACATTACAATTTGCACTAATTAGGGAGATCTTTTGGACATTTTTAAGAAGATCACCTTTTAGGTAATACTTGTTGGTTTTATTAGAACATTCAGTTCAGTGCTTTTGCCTAAATGAGATAACATGGAAGTAATACACTTTATAAACCTCAAAACTCTATACAAGTAACAGTTAGTAGAAACTACTAACAAAACACAATTGAACAATTGAATGAGGAGATGACAACAACAATGAATGCCTGGAAGATCAACTCTGAATGTAGAAAATCCTGTCTACCAAGGCAGCTGTTATGAGCTGTGCCACCTTAATAGAAATGCAAATGTTAGCAGGCTTTCCAAACCCATCTCTTAAATCTGATCACATTTACAAACTAACTACAAGTCACAGTATTCATTCTTGTCTTAAATTGAGTGCAGATTGAGTGGATGATGGCGTGACTTTTTTTTTCTTTTACACACACACACACACATATATACATATATATATATATAATTGTACATTAGGTACTGGGGTACATGTGCAGATCATGCAGGATTATTGCATAAGTACATATATGTCAATGTGGTTTGCTGCCTCCATCCCCCATCACATACATCTGGCGTTTCTCCCCATGTCATCCCTCCCCAACCTCCCTACCCCTCACTGTCCCTCCCATAATCCCCCCCAACAGACCCCAGTGTGTGATGCTCCCCTTCCTGTGTCCATGTGTTCTCATTGTTCAACACTCGCCTGTGAATGAGAACATGCAGTGTTTGATTTTCTGTTCTTGTGTCAGTTTGCTGAGAATGATGATTTCCAGATTCATCCATGTCCCTACAAAGGAAACGAACTCATTTTTTTATGGCTGCATAGTATTCCATGGTGTATATGTGCCATATTTTCCTTGTCCAGTCTATCATCGATGGATATTTGGGTTGGTTCCAGGTCTTTGCTATTGTAAACAGTGCCACAATAAACACGCGTGTGCATGTGTCTTTATAGTAGAACAATATATAATGCTTTGAATATATACTTAACATACAGGTATATATCCTATATATATAGGATTGCTGGGTCAAATGGAATTTCTATTTCTAGGTCCTTGAGGAATAGCCACAGTGTCTTTCACAATGATTGAACTAATTTACACTCTCAACAACAGCATAAAATGTTCCTATTTCTCCACATCCTCTCCAGCATCTGTTGTCTCCATATATTTAATGATTGCCATTCTAACTGGCGTGAGATGATATCTCAATGTGGTTTTGATTTGCATTTCTCTGATGACCAGTGATGAGCATTTTTTCATATGTTTGTTGGCCTCATATGTGTCTTCTTTTGAAAAGTGTCTGTTCATGTCCTTTGCCCAATTTTGAATGGGCTTGTTTTTTTCTTGTAAGTCTGTTGAAGTTCTTTGTAGATTCTGGATATTAGCCCTTTGTTAGACAGAAAAAAATTTTTCCCATTCTGTTGGTTGCAGGTTCACTCTAATGATTGTTTCTTTAGCTGTACAGAAGCTCTGGAGTTTAATTAGATACCATTTGTCTGTTTTGGCTTTTGTTGTCATTGCTTTTGGTGTTTTAGTCACGAAGTCCTTGCCTGTGCCTATGTCCTGAATGGTTTTGCCTAGGTTTTCTTCTAGGGTTTTTATGGTGTTAGGTCTTATGTTTAAGTCTTTAATCCATCTGGAGTTAATTTTAGTGTAAGGTGTCAGGAAGGGGTCCAGTTTCTGCTTTCTGCACATGGCTAGCCAGTTTTCCCAACACCATCTGTTAAACAGGGAATCCTTTCCCCATTGCTTGCTTTTGTGAGATTTGTCAAAGATCAGATGGTTGTAGATGTGTGGTGTTGCCTCTGAGGCCTCTGTTCTGTTCCATTGGTCTATATCTCTGTTTTGGTACCGGTACCATGCTCTTTTGATTGCTGTAGTCTTGCAGTATAGTTTGAAGTCAGTTAGCGTGATGCCTCCAGCTTTGTTCCTTTTGCTTAGGATTGTCTTGGCTATGCGGGCTCTTTTTTGATTCCATATGAAGTTTAAGGTGTTTTTTTTTTTTCCAGCTCTGTGAAGAGAGTCATAGGTAGCTTGATGGGAATAGCATTGAATCTATAAATTACTTGGGGCAGTATGCCCATTTTCATGATATTGATTCTTCCTAACCATGATCATGGGATGTTTTTCCATCTGTTTGTTTCCTCTCTTATTTCCTTAAGTGGTGGTTCATAGTTCTCCTTGGAGAGGTCCTTTACATCCTTTGTTAGTTGTATTCCTAGGTATTTTATTCTCTTTGTAGCAATTGTGAATGGGAGTTCACTGTTGATTTGGCTCTCTTTTAGTCTGTTATTGGTGTATAGGAATGCTTGTGATTTCTGCACATTGATTTTGTATCCTGAGACTTTGCTGAAGTTGCTTAAGATGGAGTGACTCCCTGAAGAATTCAAACTATTCCAAAACTATCAATATCTTCATGATATATGCCTGTTAAACAAAAGTAACATTTTATTCTCTAATTACCTTGGACCACCTGAGTAGAGCTTATTTAAGAAATGTTAAATGTGAATGTGATCCAGAAATGAGCTCAGTTGCTCAGCTCATCCTGACCACGCTTCTCTATGATCCAGGTAGTTAGGCACTTTCAAATTTCTTCTTCAAAATTTGACATTCATCCTTTGTATAGTTGAGTCTTCAAAGATGTCAATCACCCTAGACAATGGATCTATGTTGTTCAGAGCATACAAAAACTCCACTATTTTGTGAGAACTTTGATTTGGGGGATGGTTAAAAACTTCTATCTACTGGAATGGAAATGTCTCTGATGTTGGAAAGGCTACTACAGGGAAAAGAATTCAGGCTACATCCCTTGCTATTCTTATTTAGGGGAAGAAGAATGAAGAAAGGGAGTAGGAAGAAGCAGGAGAAAATCCAGAACTGAAACCCTACTTTTTCATGTCTAGTGTATAAGTTTAAGTGCTGCAGAATCGTCAACCCAGGAATCCTTGCATATTTTGAAGTACAATTTCACTGGGAGAACCTCTTGATCAGGGTAGGTTGCTTCCTCAAAATGATTTCGTGTTTATATCTCCTCTTCCTATCTGTGCTTCAGTCATAGCGGTTGTTTGCAATACACTATTGTTACTAATAAAATATATGCTCTGTTGAGTTTAAGGAATTTGGGGACAGGAACTTCATTCAAGCTGTCACATTTGGTTTCTTCACTGTCAAACAAATGGTCAGGATCAAAGGATGCCCCGAGAAACAGCCTGTTGGATGACATAGAAAAATAGACTCGCCAAGTTTCTAATTATTTGTCATGTCATTTCATGTTTAATAAAAGAACTCAAAGTTACTGGATTACTGAGTGATTTATGAAGGTTTAAGCAAGCAGTTACTAAGTAAGAAAATATCGCAGGTGCTACCTTTCCTGGGCCTTTCCTTCCCATCAATATTATTTCTGTTAAGTTTTCAACAGTAGCTATAAATGGAGAATGACAGATTTCTGACACTATCACAGTTTTAAGAACTTTGGCTGCAGATGGTAAAAATGTAACTTCAAAAATGCTTACCTCTGTTGGGTGTGGCCCCAACAGAATTACTGGAAATGTTTCCTTTCAAATAATGTGCAACAAAATTTTAGTGGTACTTTTCCTGAGTCCTCTCAGGGGCCTCAGATAAAAATAACAAATTTTTGGTGTTTTACCATAATTAATAAATTATTATTCCTAGGCATTTCCACCCATTATATAGAAAATAGACAACTTATACTTACCTGGCAGGGGAGATACCATGGTCACGAAGGTGGTTTTCCCAGGGCAAGGCTTTTCCATTGCACTCCGGATGTGCTGACCCCTGTGATTTCCCCCGAAACTCGACTGCATAATTTGTGGTAGTGGGGGACTGCATTCGCACTTTCCCCTGTAAAAAAAAAAAAAGAAAGAAAAAAAGAAAAGAAAAGAAAATAGACAACTTGAAATAGGTCATCAGTCTGCTGGTTAAGAGTGGATATTTGCAAAATTTGAAGACAGGTCAGGGGGTTTCTTAGTTCAATTTCTTTTGTACTTCTCCTAATAGAGAATGGTAATGCTAAAAAGCATATTGGAGACCATTAAGTCTAATACTCTTATTCAACAAATGAAAAAGCTGAGAACCAAGGAAATTAAATGATGTGACACATTATCACTGCTTGTTGGAAACTGGGAAGCAGTTATCAGAACACTGATCGCTTGGCACACGGTCTAGTGCCCTGTTAAGTCAAACTGCCTCCTACGAATGTTCTTCTTCTCCTTCACTTCTTCCCCTTTTCTTCTTCTCCCTTCCTCCTACTCTTCCTTCTCCTTCTCTTTCTCTTCCACTTTTTCCTTCCTCTCACTTCTTTTTCTCATTTTCCTCTTTCTTCTTCATCCTTTTAGTTTCATTGTTCTCCACTGGGGGCAATTTTATTCCTCGAGGTATAATGTCTCGAGACATTTTGCAGTTGTCGTGACTGGAGAGGGGATGCTACTGGCATGTAGTGGATAGAAACCAGGTATTCTGCTGAACATCTTACAATGCACAAGACAGCTCCATACAACAAAGAATTATAGATCAAAATGTCAACAGTGCTGAAATTAACAAAACCTGCTTTACCTACACTGAACTTGTAGTGATTAAAGGTGAACATAATATAGAACAGTTCTTTTTTAAGTAGAATTTTTTTATATTCTTAATGACCTTTCATGTATCACTCCATTATACAAATAAAAGCAGTATTTTATTAGAATAGATTTATTTTATGGGTTCAAATCCATAATTTTTACATGTTATAAAGTCATTCAATGAAAACCACAGTTAATGTGTCAGTGACATCCAGTGTGAAATAAAAACACCCCTGATATTTAACATATTTTAGTACATTTGTTGTTTTTCATTATCATTTGAAAAAATATGTAAAAATGTGTTTAAAAGCAAAATCCAGATTAAACATTTTAAAGATTCCTAAATTACTTCTATAGAATGGACACCAGAATTCTGTGGACCACTTTGGCTCTGATCTGCATATTATAACCCCAATATTACGTATTTCAGTTATTGAGATAATTTTATAAAAAGTTAAGCACATAGCTTTTATATAAGTGGGAAATTAACATGTATCAAGAAGTATTCAATTAATGAGATAACCAGTGAAATATTAAAAGTGATTCAAAGAAGATTTTCAGTTTAAAAAAGCCATGCAAACATGTACACAGAGTTTTAAGTGTTGACATCATTTGATGTCATCTTTTCTACAGAATGGAAATTAATTGTATCTCTACTGGACAAAATTAACTTGCTTCATTATGAACAAAAATGATTGCTACTTAACTTCTACCACTATAGAGTTGTAAAATCACTTAGACAATAGACCATCAAAGGTGCACATCCCTATAGAATCTGATAATCCCAGACCAGAAATATCTGCTGAACAATGCTCTACACTCCACTGAAAAGATACCTAATAATCTCTTTGCCCATTTTCAAATCGTTGATCATTTTTTATGATACAAATCAGTCTTAAAGTTTCTGTATTATGAAGAACACTTATAAGAGTTCAGTTATTTCCAGGTTTTATTTTAAGACCTCAATCCTCCATTCGGTTCTTCCTAACCCCCAAACATACATAGTTCCAAGAAGTCCTACACAATTAGGTCAGCTGAACCTATACTTTTTAGACCTCATGTTAGTTAAAGAGGAAAATGTTAATTACTTAATGTAAAAATAAACTAGAAGAACACGTTTTTTCTCACTGATTGCCTGACTGTTTTCTGATACTTACAGCTGAGAGAGAAATTAAATTATCATCACTGATTGGAAGTTCAATGCTTGTTTTTATTTGGGGAGCAATCTGGAAATGGAGATGCTATTAGGTAGAAGGGAAAAATGTGATCTCCATGCCTAAGTGCATGCATGTCTACCTGGAAGGATGCAGCAATATTTCTAGAATCAAAGTCCTTATAGATAATAAAACCACATTGATTCTATTCCTCCAAGATAAGGCAAAGAAACGGACCAGTCTTACAACATTTTAAAAAGAAACACATCTGTTCTAGAAAATTTGTAAATTACAGAAAAACACAAAGAATACAAAATATACTTGTAATCCCCAGCCCCATTGGTAACGTTGTTAACGTATGTGTCAGTTTCTTCCCTTTCTGATTCTTTCATACAATTTATCTCATCTTTCTAAGTCTGTGTTTCTCCTCACCTCCCTTTTTTTAAATATATACATATCTATTTATTAAACAAGCAATTTTTAGTAAATGTTATGTATATAATTTTGATAACTTATTTTTTCATGTAATGATATATTCTTTCCATACCCCTAATACATTTTACAAATTCATTATAAGTGACTCTGTGAATTTTATTATAAATATACAAAGCATAAATTTTATTAAAGTTTTTATTATAAATTTTGTTTACTCAAGGATATGTTAAAAGCTGAGTATCAATGAGATAATAATATTAGATGATTTTACTGTATTTTGACCCCAGGGGCATATTTTTTTCAAAGATATCATTGCAGTTGCCTGTTTTTATGTGTAATTTTAGAAAATGAGTATCATTTTTGTATTTTTATGAAGGTATAGGTGCCACCAGAAGAAAAACATCACATTCTGCACTGTATTAACTAAATTTCAAAAATTGTTTCAGTTTTAAAATTTCTTAAATAAACCCTTGGCTTCATTATGATCCTTACTAGGGTTTTCCTAGGCGAATCTAAGAGAAAAAAAATGAAAGTCTTAATTTTTTTAGATGTTTACAAAACTACTATCCAAGGTGCACAGTACAATGTAGATACTATTTGATTTTGTGAATTCAGGTGGTTTTAAACAATAAATTTGTGTCACGTAACTCACAGTGTACCTTAGTATTCTTCTAGTTCAAATTTCATTATCTAAAAGTTTTTTTTTACCAGAGACTAATAAGTAGTACATTGGTTAGAATAAAAAATTAATATGGAAAAAGTAAAGAAATTACCTAATATGTGTTAGTTAATAAACATACAACTCTTCTCAGACTCTAAAAACAAAATATCTGCTGCTGATTTCAACTCTTTGTTAGAGGTGATGGTGAAGTTGGTAGGGGAGTTAAGGAATAAAACAGACTTGAAGAAAATCACCTAAGAATAACAACATTTTTTCATTTTATGCCTCCGTCCTCTCTTTTAATATTCATTTTCTCATGTACACATCTTATTAAATACACAAAATGCCTCTGATGTATTCTACCATTCTCAGTTGAACATCATACCTCATGTAACCGAATATTGAAAAATTATGGTCTGAAAATTTTTAGCACAGTAAATATAAGTTTCCTCGTTAGCTCACGCTAACTTTCACCTCCATGTTATTGTGGGTTGCATTTTTTAATGGACCAGGCATTAGTCAATTCCATCTACATTTTTACTGGTGTGAAATACCAGCATAATTTATTTTAATCAACGTAGCCCTCAGCCATTTCAAATATCTTAAGGGAAAGGAATGGAAATCTCTAGAGAACAAGAAAACTGAAAAGTGTGAATCACCTACATTTCTCATTTACCCATGCTAATTAAGACCAAGCATTTGAAAGTTACCATCTGAAGGAAAATTAAGCCAATTAACCCACTGATGAAGATAATTTTCAATATTCTATCAAGAGGCAAAAATCTTCACCAGCCCTTCTCATTCCTACTGTGGAGATAATTTTCATACCGTCTCTGAGCGCTAAGAACTTAAACGAGTGTCATGCCAGTTCTGTGGGTTCTAATTGCAACTTTTATTTAAATTCTGATTTTCTGCCCCACAGCTCGATTTCTGATTGGTTGGACCTGATTGCTTTCAGACCTGATTAGATTTTATTTGCAGGCCCTTGGAAACCTGCGTGGATGAACGTTCTCTGAATTTAGAAGGAAATCCTCCTAAGATCTAGCTTTTCTATGTCAATTGAAGCGTAAGAACCACTAGAGGTTCTTTAGGAAAGGGATTAATTTGAGAACATTAATTATCAAATAATTACAGCCTATGTATAAGTTACTCATGAAGATATATTTCCATAGCTAAAGCTGTTTGTCAGATGAATACATTTTTTTAATTTCAGCATATGCAGCATTTTGTCTTTTATTGTTTTTCCTTATGCCTAGAGTCAGCTAGTATAGCTAGCATAAAAAAGACACTTACATTATACTAAAAAATGCCTTTACTAACTGTAACTCAGCAAGTAATTTTGCCCATTTCTTTGCAAGATCTTTCCTTGTTTAAAGGAAAAGAGACTGAAAGAATTAAATGAGATAAAATATATATGTGTGTGTCTACATATATATATATATATGCACACATATACATATAAATAACTTGGGGCCTTTAGACATAAATGAGAGTTGTGGTTATTATTTCTCTAAATATTTTAACATTTTCCATAATTTAGACAGCAATAAACCGGCATGAAGAGAATAAAATAAAATAAAACAAAACTGCTATCTTATATCTGGTTCTGTTTTGCTTTTAGGTTATCTGTAGAGCTGCACTAGGCTTTTGAATTTATGATCCTTGCTCTAAGTTCTCCACGACTGGCATTCACCTACACTTAATTTTGTCTATTTCCAGCTCAAAGACATTGGGGAAAAATGTTAGCACTCTGCTCAATGAGAAAAATAAACCAACAATCTCTATCCACGTTCCCACAATCTCCCCCCGGATTTTACCTCTGAATCTAGACCACTCAAACTGTATCCTAAATGCAAGAAGGAATAATAATCCCATCCAATTAAAAACACAAGCAAGTTGACTACAATATTACTACATCAGAGATGTTCAAATACCCTTTAGGAAAACTCTGTTTTTCCTAATCATTACGATTGCAAGTAAATGGAAATATCTGCATAGTACACTCAACTCTACAGTAGTTACTATTAATGGTAT